AGAATAATGTACCATGAGGTTGTACTATTAGTTGTTAAAACTGTGAATTTTGAAATCAGACTTGGTACCAATACACTCCCCACTAATCTAGTTGTCCTAACGTTACAACATGTTAGTTATCATTGCTAAACTCGAGTTACATATCCATAAATGGGGCTCTTCTGTACCTTTATGGGTATTCTTGTGAAGAGGTACATAAGAAAATGTATGTCAAGCAGCTAGTGCAGTGCTTAGTCACTAGCAGGCACTAAAAAATGGTACATGTTGTGATGTTAAATACTGTTTTTCCTAGGCTGAGATCAAAATACTGTAGAAAGAGTTGGACTATATAGTACTTACTCTTGGAATTTAAATGTTTTTGTAAATTAGATACAGATGAGAGAGGGCACTGCAGTTTTCCTGTAAACAAAATTTGTTTTTTTCATAAAACAAAATTTGTTTTTTTTTTCTGGTTCATAAAACAAAGTTTGCTTTGTGTTCAAAATGATGATAAAAGCCAGAGGAATCGCTGAACTTATAACTAAACTATAGTGAGTTAGCCTTAAAGAAAGCAGAGCTATGTAAAATTATTGATGATTTATTTTTGCCCTTTACCAAATATAAATCTGTATTATAAACAACTATAAAGTTTATATTTTCTAAGGTAAATTGTGTTTATATATTTAGAAAAGAATAGTTTGTTAATGATTTATTTTATACCAACTTGTTTTCCAAAACAGGATAGGTAAAGAGTAAGAAACATGTAATTATGACTCAGATGTAGTTTTAATGATCATTATGACAAACCTACTGAAAGAAGTAGGCTGTAGAATTCCAAGAACATTATGGTTTTAGTTATGAAAAATTTGCATACCAAAGGAAGACCAGAGAAAACAGTACAAAAATGCTGCTAACAATGGGTTTTCTACTTGACTTTGTGGGCAGGCAAGGCCAATAAAGGAAAATAAAAGAGACTTAGTAGTTTTCATTAATATATTTGTCAGTAGAAAATCACTTTTTTCCTGTCACTAAATTACGCAGCTGAAGTTACCATGTGTTTCAAGTTATGTAGGTAAAGTTAGTATGTTGAAATACTATTATAGTGTCTTCAATTACAGTTTTAAAGAAAGAAACATCTGTAATGTTTGAGTCTTTAAGCAACTAAATATACTGTGACTGTGAGGCATTTGATTAGAATGGGTAATGGTCTTCCTGTTGTTTGAAGAGTTACTATAGCTAAGTAAGTGCTTCCTGGTGCCCTAGCTCTTAACAGAATAGAACCTAGATAGTTAGTCGCCTTCAGAATGCCCCCGTCAATTCACCGCCGCCTCAGTGGTGCCTTGTGGGAAGTGGAAGTCAGTTTTTCAGGGTTTCTTCATCAGATGTAAACTCTATTGCAGCAGTATGATCTCTTTTGTGAGCTGTTTATGTACTTGGGCTTTTAAAAAGGGGAGTAGGTTTTCAGACTGCCCTTTTTTCAGTTGCAGAGATGTTGAGATCTCAGGAGATTTCAGGTGTGGATGAAGTTAAAGAGAAGAAAAATATTGCCCCTCACAAATTTTGCATCTTAGTAGCAGAGGCAAAGATTTAATGTCACATTCCTATGGATTGCTTGTACAAGTCAGGCACCTTTTGACTGAATTATAAGGTGAAATTTTATTGTATTGATCTTCGTGTATAGAGAGAAAGGCTGACTCAATACCAAGATTAATTGACAAAAGATCTCCTTGCATCCTTTGTTCTAGATACATTATTATCCCCTGAGGTAAAATCTATACTAGTTTTTCCTTTTGCACTCCAGCCTGGGCAATAAAGTGAGACTCAGTCTCAAAAAATAAAATAAAATAAAATAAAATAAAATAAAATAAAATAAAATAAATAAAAGCCAAGTTCAAAGGAGTGGATTTTCCCCAAAGTTCGTATAGGTTAGGTGTTTTTAATACCCTTTTCAGTAGAGCCACGGTTCAGTTCCTCCTGGTATGTTAGCAAGCCATCTGACACCCCACATGCCATAACAAACAGCAATTTTCAGGAAAGCTTGAGGAGGAAATTGGATGATTCTTTCCATGAATCCTGTCTGGGCTCTTCTCTTGCTGGGCTTTTGGCATTTTGACCTAAAACACTCAAGCCAGGCTCACAAAGTTCCACCTGGGGCCCGCTGATGTGCAAGTTCTTAGTTGGACCCTTTTTCATCTATATGAGTCCTTGCTCTTCCCCCAAATCCAAATTACATAAACCCTGAACTAGGCAGAAGAAAGGAGGGGCTGATTTTTCTATGTGTCACATACTTCGGTCAGGAAGAAGTGGATGCCTCTGGGCTACCTTGTATGTACGAAAAAACGAGAGTGAAAGCCTGGCTGGGTGTGATGGCTCACACCCGTAACTCCAGCACTTTTAGGGGCTGAAGCAGGCATAAACCCAGGAGTTAGCGTCCAGCCTGGGCAACATGCCGAAACCCTGTCTCTACAAGAAGTAAAAAAATTAGCCAGGCATGGTGGTGAGCACCTGTAGTCCCAGCTACTCAAGAGGCTAGGGTGGGAGGATGGCTTGAACCCAGGAGGTCAAGGCTGCAGTGAACTGTGATCTCACCACTGCACTCCAGCCTGGGCAATGGAGCAAAACCCTGTCTCCAAAAAAAAAAAAAAAAAAAAAAAAAAATTGTGTAGGAGAGGATGTTACCTGTAATGTATATCTTTGACCAGGAAGACAAAAAACGAGTGGAAGATGGTGGGGTGGAAACCGTGACTGCATGTGTGTCTTTTCATTCCCTGCTGGAACAGCCCACCTGTGCCGGGTTTTACTGTCCTACTTTGGCCCTACAAGAGTGTTTCTTTTGTGAAGAAATAATTATCTTCACCACTTGTTGTCTCCTAAGTATTAGTGAAGTGTGATATGAGGAATAAACTACCCTCATGCCTCTGGAAGGGATGGAGCAGGCTGGGAACCTGTCTGTGACCAGATGCACAGGACCCTTTGTGGTAACTTACCAGTTCCCTGCCTGAGCTCCTGGAGGCTTTGTCGTACATTCTTACTAGTCGTTTTTGAAAACTTACATTTAGAACTTGGTCCTTGACATCAGTCCTTTAGGGAGAGAACCATGTCTTACTGTCATTGAAGAGTGGCACAGTGTCTTTGAGTACACTTTTAAAATGTTTTATAAGGCTCCACACTAAATAGTCTAAAATTGAAATATTTGAAGACCTCTCTAAAATGAAGCATATCTAACTTCAGGCTTGATTTCTCACAGATATGCAGGAAAAATATGAGATCTGGAAATCTGCCATAAATACTATTACCTCCACCACCAAGAAAACAAATCTGTGTGACCACAAATGCTCCCAAGTTGCAGGCATTCCCAGAGTAGCAGCATAGATAGTGGCTGTAAACTCTTGTTTTTCCTGTCTAACAAAGATAATAGGATGTCTTTCCTTTCAGCCTTTGCATGAAGTGGACATGACTATTTACTTAACTTCTGGTTGGAAATAAGATCCCATTGTCTAAATTGTGTCAGCGCAGTTCCTGGTAGCACAAGAATATTAAACACTTTAATATGACATCCAAAATTAATGAGTCAAGTTATAAGAACTTTCTTTGAGGGATGGAAAAGATCATAACCCACTTTCATGTCCTGGGACGCTTCATTCAGTCTCACGGTATTAGAAAGTGAGCAGCCTTTGGGTTGGGGCGGGGGGCGTAGCACTTCACATGCTTTGGGCCACGAGTTCCTCCTCCCTGCTGCTCCGCCACTGCATGACATTTCCTTCTCGTCCGCATTCCCAGTGCTTCTGTCTTATTTGTCTTAAAATCTTTGTAGCTTTGGCCTAGGCTGCAGTAGCAGGGGGAGAGCAGCACAGGCGAAATGCTTGCCGCCTTCTGGACCACTGTGGAGAGAGGCGGAGTCACATTTACCTGTGGACATTGGTGGCCCCCAAAGGTGGTTTCTTGGCAACGCTCACACAGTTGATAGACGATAGGCAAGAGAGGATGGCATCGACAGTGCACCTGCTGCTTGCAGCCCAGCCAGGGCCTCCACACCCAGCGCCTCCTAGAGCCCCCATGGGAATACCTGGGGGGGTTATGGAACTGGAATGTAAACCCATGTCTCTATTCCAAACTCGTGCTTTTTTGTAAGAGGAAAACTTTTAAATAGTTTTTTCTTGAAAAGCCTCTTTTTCTTCCTAATTGGTTCTAAAACAAAAGTTTGGGCAAGTGCCTAAAAGGAAAATAGGGACAAGATTGTTTTCTGTCGTGGAATTCACAGTGGTGTCTGTGTGTACTTTAGAGCTAAGTGTGCACATACTGTGGGCGCATGCTTATTTTCTGAAGGCGAGTGCTCTAAAAGGATTGGGGACCACTGCTCTGAGCCCCAGTTGCTCTACCTGTGGAGTGAGTGCTGCTGCTCAGCTCCTGGAATTGTTCTGTGGCTCTGGCCTGACCGTCTCTATGCGGGCTTTAGACTGTGCTGGGGCAGAGTGAGTGCCCCAGACCAGTAGCTCTTGTTAGTGTGGGGACTCCCAATGCTAGTTTTGGTGATTTATTTTCATGTACTCTTGTGTCATCCCAGGGTGAAGATACACATATTCTCTAACAGCAGGACATTTGTTTTTCATTTATGAGGTCATTCAGAATCGTAATTAAGGCGATTTTGAACTTCTTAGATTGCAGCAGTGGCAGTAGCCGTAAACAAGACCCCTTTATCTGAACGGGAAAGTAGTCTTTCGCCAGGAAGTAACTACACTTCCTTGTAATCACCTGTTTGTGTAATTGTAATAACTTTACAAGTTATTCATAAAAATACAAGAATGACTAGTTTGTCGTTGTCATAACTTGTGTATGATACATGAAGTAGAAGTCATACAGTACAAGTACTTTTGAAATTTGGAAAAGTTTAATTTTGTAGGACTTTATTATTTTTGGATGTTAAAGTAAGTATGTATGACAGTGCATAGTGTGTTTCAATTTTGGAAGTGATTCTTTGCTATTGAAATTCTCATTCTCCTCATTTCATTCTTATTTTTTAGGGAATACCTTGGCAAGCAGCTCCAATCCGAGCAGCCCCAGACTGCTGCCGCCCGAAGCTGAGCCTGCCTCTGGCCTTCCCCACCGCCTCGATGCAGAACCAGTAGTGGGAGCACTGTGTTTAGAGTTAAGAGTGAACACTGTTTGATTTTACTTGGAATTTCCTCTGTTATGTAGCTTTTCCCAATGCTAATTTCCAAACAACAACAACAACAAAACATGTTTGCCTGTTAAGTTGTATAAAAGTAGGTGATTCTATATTTAAAGAAGATATTACTGTTACATATACTGCTTGCAATTTCTGTATTTATTGTTCTCTGGAAATAAATATAGTTATTAAAGGATTCTCACTCCAAACACGGCCTCTCTCTTTACTTGGACTTTAAACAAAAGTCACCTGTTGTCTCCTTTCAAACCAAATTGGGAGAATTGTTGCAAAGTAGTGAATGGCAAATAAATTTTTAAAATCTATCGACCTATCAATCTCTATCGATCTATGTCTCTATCCAGCTCTCTGTTCATCTATATATCATCT